AAAAAAAAAAAAACTGGAATCTCATTTTAATGAAATCAACATTTGCACTTTGATTTTCAAAATTAAGAAACTGAAAAGGAGATGTTAGTTATAAATTTATAAGAAGGCAAATGCTAGTTGTACATATTATAAAATCACATTATGTTTATAGGACCACGTTTCACAGATCAGGGCTATGCAAACCCGAAGCACACACTATGTAAAGTAGTGGTCCATGACAAAACATTGCTAGGTCACAAGCAGACAAATGAGAACCGGTGTGTCTGACATGGATAAGTAGTCTATAAATTAAGACAGGTCACTTACTGCTAGAATTTCCATTTGCTAAGCAAGAAGGTGATCGGGTCACAAAAATACAAAGGAAGAAAAAGACCAAGAATTAGTGTAAGATTTTAACTAGGGTCACAGATGTCCGAGGCAAACTGAAGATCATGAACATTTAATTACACCTCAAAGAGAAATTTATGATTCTATTTCTAGAATGAAACCTTTAACAATCCAGGGTGTTGTTAACACATTGCCAAATAAGTAAATTACATTTAGACTACAGTTTATTTATGTGTAAAAGTTACAAAGAAAATTGAACTTATGTGATCTTGGGAAATTCGGCTATTATAAGTGGTCTTTACCTAGTTTTTATAGAATTACCAAAATAACAACAAAAAAAGCCAAACATCATAAAACTTTCTTAGTAATGGAGAAAAATTTCTCATTAGAAAAGAACAGATTACTGTTCTCAGAAAAGAGAAAGAACTGGCTTATCTTATATAACAGATACTTACCCATGAGAAGATTATCTTTGATGTTATCTCATTCTAGGCTTTCTACCTTTCACTGTCTAATTAGGTCCTATGTTGTCATAATTGTGCTGAGTCAGAAGGTAAAATATCAAAAGCAGATGTGTGTTTTAAATTGCATTCCAAATATAATTTAGTAAACTTCAGAAATTCAACCTTACTGGGTTTGAATCAAATGAGATAATGTATGTAAGATAGTGAAACATCTAGTTTATGAACTACTTAAAAACTATTACATTAAAATATCTACAGCAGCTCAGTCCTACTCATTAATGGAGAAAAACTGTTTCTATTTAAAACAGCAATGGCCATAATGTAAATATTGCTTCTAAAGTCCCTTTTGAAGCCTGCTTTTCTAAGCAGTTTCCTCAGAAAGACTATTTAAATAACATTTATTCCTTTCAATTTAGAAAGGATTTGTTAAGCAAAGGTGAACTTTAGCTCCCTACTGCTCACCATAAATTACTTAGCCATTCTGTGAACATTAGTTGAGTACAGTCCAATGTCAAACTTATTAGCATATCTAAATTTCTAAGGTTTTATGTGGAAACTAACAACTATTTGAGTTTTAAATACTTTTCCTCACTTCTATTAGCATAAATAAAACAACTGACTCTACATGCATATATCTATAGCCTCTACTATGGGACGTAATAGAAATCACTGATAAAGTTTATGATCACCACAACTAACACAAATGTAATTAATTCTATAGCTCAATTATCAGAAATTATACTAAATATATCAACACTGTATATTTTCAATTAATGCCTTTTAAGTATATTGAAATTTCTATATATATTCTTTTCATTTATTTATTTTTTAACCCTCACCTGAGGATATTTTTGCATTTATCTTCAGACAGAGTGGGAGGGAGGGAGAAAGGGAAACATTGATGTGAGAGAGACAACATCAATTGGTTGTCACCTGGATGACCCCAACTGGGGCCGGGGGACTAACGGCAACTGAGGTATGTGCCCTTGGGTGAAATTGAACCCGGGACCTGTTGATCTGCAGGCTGATGCTCTAACTGCTGAGCAAAACTGTCCAAGGCTTCATTTATTTTTAAATATCTACAGATTGTTATTATGCAAAAGACTACACTGGTACAGAGACAACAGATAATGTGTAAAAAGGGTCCCCACTCTCAAGGAGCTGAATATGAAGAGAGATGTAAATGAAATATTTTTACTTTTTAGAGAGAGTGGAAGGGAGGGAGATAGAGAAACATTAGTTGGTTGCCTCCCACACAGCTCCGGATGTGCGGGGAAACCTGGCATGTGTCCTTGAGGAGATGTTCTAACCGCTGACCCAAACCAGCCAGATCTGAAATCTTAAATGTACAGTTTTCATTTAGCAGAAAACCTTGAGCAATGTTAACTGACAGAGACTCTGGGAGATGGGATATAAGAAATCACTTGGTCTAAACAGCTAATTTATATAGGAAAAAAAGAGTTTATATTTCTTACTTAAGCCATGCAGTGAAATAGTAGCAAAAATAGAATTAAGACCAAAGGATCTAATCCTAATCCAGGGTTAATTCCCTATTTTATACACATGATTTGACAGTTTCTTTGTAACAGTGCAGAACTGCCTAGGTTAGAATTTTAATTTTAACTATTTACTTGCTGATTTTAGATAAGTAAGCTTCTCTGAGCCTCACTTTCCTCATCTGCAAAATGGGGATAATTATAGCATCTACTAGACAGAGTTGTAAGGATAGAGATAATGAATAGGAACTACTTAGTACAATTCCTGGCAAATAGTTAACATTTATTGAGAGTATACTATTATTTTCTCAGCATTTGTTTTTTTGAAAGTTTCAAAAAAAAATGTTTTAGAATGGTGCAATAACTTTTACAGTGACTAGAAATCTACAGCAATATAACTGATATTAAAAAAATTAGAATTCTCATGTCAAATGCAAAGTCATTAATTGATGAATGCATTTTCTGCATATGTAGTTATACTCCTATTAGAATATATTTGTGGGTCTTAATTTATCCTCACTTAATATAATGTATATGTTGTTAATGTGTACTTTTTCTAAGAAAATACTATTATTTTTCACCGAATTTTATACTAGTAAGAAACATTACAGTTTATCCAATTTGAATTCCACGTTTAAAAAGGCTAATATGAATGTATGTAACCTTATTTTTGGGTTTGTATTCCTGACCAACCAACCCATTTATTTGCAGAATACCAATGAAGAACAAAATTTTCTTCAAAGAGGCAGGTGCTTTAAGCTGACTTGGACTGTCCAGATACCCATCAAGCCTATCTAGTGGATGTTATTAAGTTTCAGTCACAAGCTGGTCGTTCATTTTTATTAAAGTGAATTTTTCATTACTAAGCCAGTATTTCATTGAATCTACTTTTACAAAGATTGTTCTGATAGCAAAAATGAAAAGTTACAAATATATTATTTCTTTCTAGGAACATCACTTAAGGACATTTGAGCATGCACATTATTTTCCCGATACAGACATACAGCAACACTAAGAGTGAGACACTTACTTGTGCATCTGTGTTGATCCTATACACGTCTTCCTTGGCACCAAATGTCCTCTTACAGTTGTCTAACCACTAAAGCAATAAGGAATAGTGAACTTTAATACAGTAATTATACAATCACATTGGTAATGTAATAACCTGCGTGTATAAAACAACAAACTTAAAAGTTCACTTGAATTTCTAGCAGTGGGTGTAGACATACTTTCATCTCCATTGGAGCCTCACTGTTTATATGCAACAAACCAAGCAGGCTGACCTGTTGGTGAACTAGATGCGCACCCTTCCGAGCGCTGCCCAACGAAACAAACAGCCTTCTGTTCCAGGGACTGGTGCTCCTCGTCAGTACAGAATAGGCTGTAGTCTGCAGGTTTTATTGGAAATCTTCACAGTCTGTACCTGACCTTTGTCTAATTTAAGATGGGAAATGAAAGATGTAATTCCCCTCCGGTCTGTCTGATAAAAAGACAACTTAGAATTAACCAGGTCCTTTTGCTTATCAGAAGTGTAAATCTCAGAAGACTGGTGTCAGTTTTAATTAGTGAAACAAAGTAAAATCCATTTTAAATCTCTTTATTTTTCTTTCTCTTTTGGACAGGAGTGAATGACAAACATGTTATCTCCAAAGAATATTGGATAAGAAGCCAAATGTTATTTTTCCTCATCCAGGGGCTATTCTTAAAGTTGGCTATTTATTTAAGGTAACGTTTCTTTGGTCAAATAAAAATAAAATAATAGCATTGTGGTTTAATAGGAAAAAACACTGAAGTCACAGAATGTCGAAGCTCAAATGAAAGCTGAGAGCCTTCAAGTTAGGCTCCTAGGTTTTGACAGTTTGATATTAATATCATCAGTTCTTTTGATGACCTAGTTTTTTTTATTAGGTGTGATAAACATAATACAAATACGAATAAAAAAATTAGAACGTTGAGAAAAACTGCTAGCTATGTTAAGTTTACTCTTTGAAAATATTTCAGTACTGGACATTTAAAATTCTCAGTTGTAGCTTAACTTTCAATATGCAAATTATTAAATTAAACATCTCAGTTATTTCAAAACAATCTCTTTGACCTCCTGTCTCTTTTATCCCAGCCCCTCAGACTACACTGCCCTCAGGCCCTTTTTGACAGCATCTTGAAACAAAAATGTGTTATGCTTTTCCGCTAAGACGCAGCTGCTGGCAGCCACTGTCAAAGCATCCAGACTTCTTTACAGCAGCAACACTGAGTCGACATCCAGCATGAAATTTGTACATGACTCTTCAGTCACACGAAATGTTAAAATGCTTATACACTTAATCCTCATCACTAATTCAGGCCAATTTGTCCAAGTAAACTGATACATTTGGAAGAAATAATTTCAACTGATTATTTAATGGGCTATTCTTACTGAATATAATTTCTGATTTTTATTCTATTAAAAGACAAGCCCTATGTTATAGTTCCATGGTTGCATACTGTCCTGAAAAGTACAGGTCCACCCCTTTCCAGCCATTGTATACAGGGCACAGTGGATAGTTCGTGTACAGAATACCCTGCAGTTCGTGTCTCATCAATCTTCCTGTCATGATGTTTTCTTTTTTTTTTTGTATCCTCACCCGAGGACATTTTTCCATTTTTTGTTCAGATAGAGCGGGAGGGAGAGAGAGGAAGAGAGAGAGAGAGAAACATCGATGTGAAGGGACACATCGAGTGGCTGCCACCCGTACGACCAACCAGGGCCGGGGACAAACTGCAACCGAGGTACGTGCCCGTAGCAGGAACCGCACCCGGGTCTCTCTGGACCGCAGGCCGACGCTCCAACCACTGAGCCAAACCGGCCAGGGCTGTCATTATGTTTTCTTTACTCAAAGCCCAAATGAAGAGTAAAACTTAACCTGAGAGGTTTGGCTTCTCAGGTGGAGTAGCTTGTATAAGGCCAGTCCTCCAAGGACATCTATCGATGCTGAATACCTTTAGCCAGGATTTGGGGAGTAAGGGAGGTCAGGAGGAGCCCTGCGCTGACCCTGGCATTTACTCTAGGGCATGTTCTTACTCATCTCCCTAGACACAGGGGGACAGGAAGTGGTGGCCTACAGTTTCACTGGGCTGGGAGATATGAGGATCCCAGAGAAGAGAGAACTGCAGAGGAGGGACCCCAACAGTCAGCGTCTGTTTCCCCCCTGGGGACACTTGCTGTTCCTACATTTATCATGTGCAGGAGGAGAGGCTGAGAAAACAAGGAGCAGCATCTGGGAGTCTAAAAAGGTAAGTAGAGATTTGCAGGCTCATGGTCCTGGGAAGATAAAAATCGTTCAATCCTTGCTGAGAGGGCGGGGTATGATAAACACCTCAGGCCTTCACTCATGATCCTTGGAAAGCTTAAGGAACAGTTACAAAATAAATAACTATTAGAGGGGGGAAAAACCAAATAATAAAAGTACTTCGTTGATAGAAAAGAAGGGAGAAAAAAGGTAACAATGAATAAATAGATGGGACAAGAAATAGTGAGATGGTAGCTCAGAAAAGAACCAAGTTCATCCCCACCACCAATATGAATATTAAGTTGATTCAGGATAATTTAACACTTTCCTGTCACTGCATTGCAATAGCACCTGTGCTATAAATTATATGATTATATACAGGCGGGACTATATTGGATTCTCTATTACATTCCATTGGACTCTAATCTTATGCTGGTACCACCCTCTTTTGAGATTTATAATGGGTCTTACTGGCTGGAAGTTTAACTCTATTGTTTAGACCCAGCTGTTGTTTTTTTTTTTTTTTTGGTATGTGCCCCTAGTGGGAACTGAACCCGGGACTCTCTGGTCCGCAGGCCAATGCTCCAACCACTGAGCCAAACCGGCCAGGGGGCAGCTGTTGTCCTTTATGGACAAAATTTGGAAGACTTTTTATGTAAAGGGCAGATGATAAACATTTCAAGTGTTGAAAACCACAAATTCTCTATTGCAACTATTTAACACAGTGATGCACCACAAAAAGAGCCATTGACAATATGTAAACAAATGGGATGGCTAGGTTCTAAGAAAATCTCTGTATAAAACAGGCAGTGGGCCAGACATGACCTGAGGCTATAGTTTGCTGAGCTGTGTTCAAAAAAATCGTTTCCCTTATTTGCTGTTCGTATTTCCATATAAATGGTAGAGTTAGCTCGTCAATTTTAATTATGATATCCTCTGAGATTTTGAACAGAGATTGCATTAAACCACACACAGTGTGGGAAGCAAGGCTAATCTTGGGAACTGGTTCCCCCTAACCTCCTGCTGGCCTGACTCCCACACACATTGAGTTTGACCCTCAGGGTGTTCTCGCAAATGGTGGCATACCATTTTGGGGGAAAATGACACCTTTACACTATCAAGTCTTCTGACTCATTAATACAGTATAGTCCTCCATATATTTAGTCTTCAATTTCACTCAGTGGTATTTGAGGTTTTCTGGGTGGAGGTCTAGAGCATCTGACTAGATTTTTTTTTTTTTTTTTAAATCCTCACCCAAGGACATTTCTCCATTTTTTGTTCAGATAGAGTGAGAGGGGTAGAGAGGAAGAGAGAGAAACAGCGACATGAAAGGGATACACCAAGTGGCTGCCACCCGCACAACCAACCAGGGCCGGGGACAAACTGCAACCGAGGTACGTGCCCTTAGCGGGAACCGAACCCGGGTCTCTCTGGACCGCAGGCCGACGCTCCAGCCGCTGAGCCAAACCAGCCATGGCGAGCCTCTGACTAGATTTATTTGTAGGTAGCTGATATCTTATTATAAATGGTATATTGGCTGGGAGTTTCTTCTGGTTTGCCTAGGGTCACCCTGAGCCTACAGTCATGTGATGGCTCGACTGGGGCTGGAAGTTCCAAGTTGACCTCACTTCTATGCCTGGCATGCTGCCTGTCACATCTGAGATGACTCCCTCCTCCTCCACATGACCTCATCCTTCAGTAGACTAGCGCTTGAATAGTTTTTTCTGAATTTATCCCAATTTACACTCTAACTAGCATGATGGCAAAAGCAGAAGGTGCAAGCCCAGCTGGTGTGGCTCAGTGGATTGAGCTTCGTCCCAAGCACCAAGAGATCACTGGTTCAGTTCCCAGTCAGGGCAATGCCTGGGTTGTGGGCATGCAGGAGGCAGCCAATCGATGTTCCTCTCTCTCCCTCTCTCCAAAAATCAATACAAACATATTTAAAAAAAACAGAAGCTGCAAAAGGCCTTCAAAGTGTTAGTCTCAGAAGTTGCACAGCAGCATTTCTAAATTTGGTCAGAACAAGTCACAGGCCACTCCATACGCAGAGGTGGGAGACCAGGCTCCATCTCTCGATGGAAGGAACAGCAGAGGGTGGACAGAGAGGCACACTTCACCAGTTATTGTTATTGTAACAATCGACCACAGCTTCTAGGGTAGGCAAGACCCATAATGGAAAAGACTGATAATATGGAATTAATTAAAATAAAAATCTTCTGTTCACTGAAAGATACTATCAAGATAGTGAAAATGCTAGTCACAGTGGGGGAAAATTTGTAATACACCCAAAAGGCTTGATTTAAAACAAAGAACTACAAATCTGTAAGAAAACCACAATAATGGACAAGGTACTTGAAAAGGCACCATTCACAAAATATCTAAATGAAGCTATCTATATGAAAAAGTGCTCAGTCATTAGGGGAAATGCAAAATAATATCATGAATTGCTGCCAAACACCTACCACAGTGAGTAAATTTTCAAAAGTTGGCAAAATCAACTGATGGCAAAGATACGAAGCGACGGTAACTCTTGTACACACTCCTGAAGGGGTTGGAATTGTATATAATCTCTTTTAGAAAAGTGCTTGACAGACTACTTAAGTTGAACATACGTATATCCCAGGACCCAGCAATTCCACTCCTACGCAAAAGACATGTACAGAATGCACATTGCACTGTTATTTGTAGGGTGACCAGATCTTGCCAACTCTTTCCTCCTCTTCAATCTGTCACTACTTTCAGTCCAAATATAAGATCCCTCTCGCCTGGCTGGTGTGGCTCAGTAGTTGAGCACCAACCCATGCACCAAGAGGTCCCAGTCGACTCCCGGTCAGGACACATGCCCAGGTTGTGAGCCGGACCCCGGTGGGGGCGTGCAGGAGGCGGCCAGTCGACGTTCTCTGCCATCGATGTTTCTATCTTTCCCGCTCCCGTCCCCTCTCTCTCAAAATCAGTAGAGAGCCCTGGCTGGTTTGGCTCAGCGGTTAGAGGGTGGGCCCGCAGTCCAGAGTCCTGGGTTCGGTTACTGCTCAGGGCACGTACCTCGGTTGCCGAGGTCGTGTGGGTGACAACCACTCTATGTATTTCTCACATCGATGTTTCTCTCTCCCTCCCGCTCTATCTGATGATAAATGTAAAGAAAATGTCCTCAGGTGAGGATTAAAAAAAAAATCAATAAAGAAAAATTTTTTTTAAAAGATCTCTTTCCCTTATAAGGGGAGAAAGCCCTAACTGAAGTATTTTCTCATACCATATTCTCTGCCTCAAATAATCCCCTAATCTGAAACGACCATCTGTCAAGGCCTAGGTCATGTCTCTATTCCGTGAGTTTCCTAGGAGCCCAAGCGGCCTTTCCCTGGAAGCCACAGCATGGCAGCAGTGTTCTGTCAGGCTCGCGCAACTTGGGGAAGTCTTTCATCGCCAGGACTTTCATTTATAGCTGTAACTTAAGTGATACTTTACTTTTGTTACTAATTATTCATATACGGTATTTGTGCCTTATATTCTTATCTGGACTATTAAAGGAATAAGAAATAGGGTTTTCTTTGTTGTTGTTAATCCTCACCTGAGGATAGTTTTCCACTGATTTTTAGACAGAGTGGAAGAGAGCGAGAGAGAGAGAGAGAGAGAGAGAGAGAGAGAAAGAAAGAATTGGTTGCTTCCCGTACGACCCCGACCAGGGCCTGGGATGGAACCTACAACACAGGTACATGTCCTTGACTGGAATCAAACCCGCAGCCCTTCGGTCTCAGCCCGATGTTCTGAGTATGGTTGTGAGTATGTGAACCGCTGAGTCACACAGGCCAGGGCAAGAGTTAGGTTTTATACTTCATTTTTCATAGGCCTTCACATGTGATAGATAGTTAATACTTATTAAAGACCAATCTGTTCTAGAAAAAAAGTGTCCACTATGTACAGTTTGTATAAAAAGGAAAAGCATTTCTTTAAGTTTGTCTGCCCCTGCTAACTGAAAACGCTTACTCTCAGGGAACAGAACTACTGTGCTTTGCCGTACCAGACTGGAGCTGAAGAAATATCTCCTAGCAGCTAAATCTATCAGCCACTACATGCTTATTTCTACCTTTGCCTGCCCACCCACATGCGCACACATCACGGGGGGCAGGTTACATAGACCACATCATAATGTATTCTCAGAGAAATCCTTATTCCCCACTTGCAACACGGACAGCAGCAGCTTTTATATAAAGCTACCGTTTTCCACGGTGCTTTTAGAAGGCCAGTTTCTAAAAGCCAGAGAGGGGAATTTGCTGGATAGAGGGCACAGAGCCTTCCCAAGTCTCAGGAAAACCCTGAGGCAAGTGCTGAAAGGTCCCAGCTGTCCGGCTGCTAGGCTGACACTTCTGGTCAAAAGCAAACTACTCTTCAGGGCCTCTGCCCATTTTTAAATTGGACCGTTTGTTTGCTGGGTGTTGAGTTGGATGAGTTCTTAATATACAAGGTGAGCAAAAGTAGGTTTTCAGTTGTTGAGTATGTGAACAGTTTATTCTGATATTATTTGTTACTTATTTGTATCATAACTGTAAAACCTACTTTTGTTTACCCCTGTATTTTGGATATTAACCCCTTGTTGAAGCTGTTGCTTGCAAATATCTTTCCCATTTGGTTGGTTGCCTTTGTATTTTGTTGGTGGTTTTTTGCTGTGCAGAAGTGTTTTTAAATCCTCACCTGAGGATATTTTTCTATTTATCTTCAGATAGAGTGAGAGGGAGAGAGAGACACATGGATGTGAGAGAGATACATTGACCAGTTGCCTCCTGCATGACCCCAACCAGGGCTGGGGACTGAACCACAACTGAGGTATATGCCCTTGACCGGAATCGAACCTGTGACTCTTTGGCAGAGGGCCGACGCTCTAACCACTGAGCAGTCTGGCCAGGACATGCTGTGCAGAAGTTTTAGCTTGATATAGTCCCATTCATTTCTCCCAAGAAGACATATAAATGGCCAACAGATACATAAAAAGATACTTACAAACCAAAACTA